AAAAAAAAAAAAAAAAAATGCTAAGGTCGTTGAATATTAAAGATAATTGCTCTTCTTTCTTGAGCTTCTTCTTCATTTTTTTCATCATCTTGTCTTGTAACTATAATCATGTTTATGCCCTAAATATCGGAGTCCAAGCCACCGGTACTTCCGTCAGCGTGGTAATAATTCATTAAGAGATTGTTCCTCCTCTTCTTTCTTCTTCTTCTTCTTCTTCTTACTTTTATTAATTAATTTCTTGAGCTATCTAACATGAATGAATGTATACTTTCGTTTTCTTAACAAATGAAAGTGGTATTTTCTCATGATGTTTTAATTTCTTGAGCTATCTAACATGAATGAATGTATACTTTCGTTTTCTTAACAAATGAAAGTGGTATTTTCTCATGATGTTTCTGCAGAGCAAAGGTTGCAGTAGAAAATGTGAGTCAGACTTCTGTTCAGGTAACATATTTATAATTTATATTTTTCCATATAATTATTATATTATTTATGTATATTAATATTTGTCTTTTGGAATTGAAAAAAAAAAAAAAAAAAAAAAAAAAAAAAAAAAAAAAAAAAAAAAAGTGCCACCGTTTCTACGATATGGAAAGTACTGTGGGCTGTTATACAGTGGATGCCCAGGAGAGAAGCCTTGTGATGGACTCGATGCCTGTTGTATGAAGCATGACGACTGCGTTCAATCTAAGAACAGTAAGAGTTCCCTTCTCCTTCCCTAATAATAATATATACTAGCTCGTCGGTTAATCTTTTCCTCAAATACTAATCAATTAATTAATATATCATTCTCTACTTTACTACTTTACAGATACCAGATATATACACGCATACAGATTTCACTCGTGCATGTCCTTTTAAATTTTAAACAACAATACTACTTGTAATTAGCCTCTCTAATTTTAGAAATTGGTCCCTCGTCCTTTCTTCTCTCGAAAAAGTGAGGAAAAACAAAAGCTTAGCTTATAAATAAATTATGTGTAATTTATTATTATATATAAGTAGGGAGGGGACAGAAATATATTGTGTATAATAATATCTTACAAGTAAATGGTAGTACGTACTCTGTCTGTGAGAGCGATGGATTTGAGACCCGTGATCATCCTGAAACAAAAAGTCAAGAAAACCTGCCTAACTCGCTGCAATAATCACATATGAATGAATCCAACCAGCTTATAATTAATTTAAGAAGACCCACTTGATCACACATTTCAGCAAACACTATTTGTATTTGGCACCGGCGGTATATATTATTTCCCATCACCATGATTGTCTCTTTTCGTTGCCCCTTGTGGGGTCCACATTCTACTACTGATAATATTTAACACTAGTGGTGTCCTTACGCATTTTTACTGCACATTTTGACCTCAAAGAGTAGCATACAAATATAATATATATATATACACATATATATATGTATATTAATGTTACTTGTGCATGCTTGAATAGCATTTCTGAGTTGTAGAATATCACATTTTGACGTATCTATAATAATTACAGATAATAATATATATAATTTTTTTTTGTAGTATCTTCTGTGTGCATGTGAGTGATCATATGAGCACAGAGAAATGCTCAGCTATCTATGTTTGATGGAAAACCATGGGATGGGGATTAACAAAAACCTAATTACTCTATTTATATCGTAGAAAATATAGAGGAGATGTATCATATATAGTAATAACTTTTATAACCTCGTATTAAGCTGTATATGCAAGTATAACTATATATGCGTAGCTTAAAAAAAGGGAATAAATAAATCTCTTCAATTAAAGATGGTAAGAATGAAGTTAGTGGTCCAAATTAATATAATCCCCCTTCAAAATTGCTTTTCCTGATGGCGATATATAGGCATTATTTATTTCACAACTCAAGTTTTATTGTTTTAGTGTTTTCTCTCATAAAAATTTAAATTCAACTTATTTACTGCGGTGTTTTTCTCTCACATACACAACTCAAATCATGACTCGAGTTGTAAAATAAACACACCCATAGTAATATGTCCGCCATTCTTTCTTGAATTCTCTCTTGCATGTTTCTTCTTTCCTTCTTAGCTGTTTCTTTCTAATTAAATTTTTTATAATTATTTTGTAGAAATAATATATCCAAACTATTAGAAGAAAGTTATAAATGTTGTTGATGAATAATATTAGAGAGTGTGTACTCATGTGGTGGTGCAGATGACTATCTAAGCCAAGAGTGCAGCCAGAAGTTCCTAAATTGTATGAAAAACTTCAAGAACTCCGGAGGCCACACGTTCAAGGGCAACACGTGCGAGGTCGACGAGGTCATTGATGTCATTACCCTAGTCATGGAAGCTGCTTTGCTCGCCGGCCGATATCTTCACAAGCCTTAATGATTAATTATTTATCAAAACCACTACAATTATGATCATTTTAACCACGCACATTCATGTACCAAGTACTTATTTCTACCTCCGTTTTTCATCCTTGTTATAACTTTGAATCAACAACAACAACAAACATGTGTTTCCTTCATCCAACAATAAACATGTCATTTGCTTTTATATTTTCCTATAGTGTCATTGATTTCTAGACCAAGGAAAATTGTTTAATGAGAGATTAATGTGAGAGAGCAAAGAAGAGAACGGTCTTTTAAAATTCAAAATTTTCTACTTGCCAAAAAAAAAAAAAAAAAAAAAAAAAAAAAAAAAAAAAAAAAAAAAAAAAAGAGGTTTGCCCTCTCATAAGTGGCTCATGCGCATTGCATTTGTTGAATTTTGTCTTAAAAATACTGGATGTTATTAATTGGGGAGTATTTGCTAAGAACTATGGATTTAGATTTGATTTTGATTTTGGGGTGCAACTTGCCAACCAGGAAAAGTTCATGAGCCGAATCTTGCACGTTACCGTAAAATATTGTTATCATGCAAAACCAACAAGTGTTTCTATAACGCCCATAAAACTAGCCGTCAAAATTTCACGATTTCCAAGAAAATGTTATTATGAAATAATATAATTGTTCATAAGTATATGATATTATTAATACTACTAACATAATTATTTGAGTTTTCTCAGGTGATCGCGACTAGAGGCTTGATGAGTAATGACACATAAACATATCATGATAAGTTACATACTAAATATATTTATATGTTATATATATATATATATGAGGTGATATAAAATTCTCATGTTTTAATGTCTTAGCATATGTTATATTTTATGGTTTTAATAAAAATTGAGCATGAGTTTAAGCACGTTATCAAGTTTCACGTTTTTATTTACATATCATTCATATTATTCATATGATGTCACTTTCAATCTAATTGTTAACTTTCAAATCGCCCGAATTAGGCAAATCTTATTGGGTAAAAAGTTGTGTTATCTTTCCAACGCATCTTGAATTGCTCAATTTAGATATTGGAATAGAAAGTTATGGTTAAAATACCGAAACATGTTCAGAATTTAAAGTCTTACGCGAATTTTTCATATTTTTCTCATAATTACGAATTTACCACTGCGATTTAGGCAGCCTTTAAGCACGGGTTTTAATTAAGAGGTATTTTAGGGTTAATTCTAAAACCTATCCAATATCTATAAAAATTCTCTCAAATCTCTTGAGCAACATAGCCGCCAATATTCTCTTCCCTCGTTCTCTCTCAACCTCTCTTAAATTTCTCTCCCTAGCTCTTGAGAAAAAAAAAAAAAAAATCTTCTTAAATTCTCATCTAGTCAAACCTCTTCACATGTTTATTTAATCACCTCTCCAAGCTTTCTTTCAAGAGAATATTTAAGGTATTGATTCTTTTATGTGTTTTCATAGTTGATGATGATTTTTACGATCGTTATTCTATGATGAATAATTCTAAATTGTTCTTCTTAATTTTAATCATTAGTACGAATATGGATTATTGAATTGATGACTTTGATGATGTTCATGATAAAAGACTTTGAAACGTGAATGAATCTAATTATCATTAATTTTCTGATGTTTACATGATGATATATATATACAAAAGATAATAAAAACCGTTAGCTGAAATATAGGCAATTTGAATACAAAATATTTATAAAACTGCTACATCAGATTTTGCTGATTTGGAGGAGATCTTCTGATATCCGAAGCTTAAGGGTAGACTGTTGTAGCAGATTCTGTTGATGAAGATTGGATTGCTGAGTCAGAAGGAGAATCTCTAACACGCCCCCGCAAGACGATGCTCCCATTAGAGATACCGATCTTGGATCGCAAATGTCGAAAAGGAGTGGAAGATAATGGCTTCGTTAGAGTATCAGCAAGCTGGTCCTTAGATGAAATATGAGAGACCTGAAACGATCCACGAGCAACATGATCACGAACAAAATGATAATCGATGGAGATGTGCTTCATTCACGAGTGAAAAACAGGATTAACAGAGAAATAAGTGGCCCCAATGTTATCACAGAATATTTGAGGGGAGGCTGAGCATGAAACATGTAGTTTGGCAAGCAAATTTGTAATCCAGAGTACTTCTGCAGCACAAGAGGCAAGAGCTCGGTACTCAGCCTCAGTTGATAAACGTGCAACTAACTTTTGCTTTTTCGAACACCAAGATATGGTATTGCCACCGAGATAGACAATATAAGCAGAAGTGGAGGTACGATCATCACGATTTCCAGCCCAATCTGCATTAGTAAATGCAGTGACATGAAGATGCTGATTCTTTTTCAAAAACATTCCATGATGAATGGTAGACTTGAGATATCTTAAAACACGCTTTGCTGCGGACCAGTGAGTCTCAGATGGAGAATGCATGAATTGTGCCAATTTGTTGACGGCATAAGAAATATCCGGTCGAGTGAGGGAGAGATATTGAAGTGCACCAATGACTTATCGATATTTTGTAGTATCAGCCAGTGGAGAACCATCATGAATCGACAATGACTGCGAAGAGGACATCGGTGTGGAGCATTCTTTGGCACCTGACATATTAGCTTTTTCCAAAAGATCACGAATATACTTGTATTGTGTCAGGAGTAAACCAGATGTAGTAGGTAGAACCTCGATACCAAGAAAATAGTTAAGATCACCCAGGTCCTTGACGGAGAATCTTCTGGCTAAGGCCTGCAAAAACAGAGTAAGAAAAGCACTATTGTTGTCAGTAACAAGTAGATCATCAACATAGACCAAGAAATAGGCGGTTACGGTAGTGGTATGATAGGTGAAAAGAGAAGTGTCGCTGTGCGAATTAACAAATCCATAGGATAATAAGAAATTCTTGAGCTCGTTGTACCATGCCCGTGATGCTTGTTTAAGACCATAAATAGCTTTGTGAAGCTTACACACAAAGTTAGGATGATTATGGTCAACATAGCCAGGGGGTTGCTGCATAAACACGTCTTCAGATAAAGTACCATGAAGGAATGCATTATTAACATCAAGTTGTCGAAGAGGCCAACCATGTGACAAAGCAAGAGTGATCACAAGACAGTTGGTTGTAGGTTTAACGACCGGGCTAAATGTATCATGAAAATCCACGCTAGGCCGTTGATGAAAACCTTTAGTAACAAGACGAGCCTTGTACTTAGAAATGGAACCATCTGGATTTCTTTTAATACGAAACACCCACTTACATCCGACAACATTTTGAGAAGAAGATGGTGGAACTAGTTCCCAGGTACCATTTCGAAGAAGAGCCGTAAGTTCATCGGACATAGCTTGCCTCCATTCCGCATACTTAATGGCTTGAGTTACACATGTAGGTTCAATAGAATCGGGTAGAGGATGAATTGTGGTGAATAAACGTTTAGGCTTGAAAATGTTATTTTTAGAGCGAGTGACAATGATATTAGAAGGTTGAGGGGGATGTACAATGGGAGGAACAGGTTCAGTTTGAGATGCTAGAGGAGAGGGTGAAGATGACGGAATAGGTGAAGATATAGTGGTGAAACTAGGAAGTGAGATGGAAGAATGATGTGAGTTACCTAACTCTGCGGAAGGCACCGGCAATGATCATGTGGATGACCAATGCAGGGTGTTTGTTGAATCAGCCGTGGCATTTACTACCAATGGTTGTTGTTCGGTCGGAGGCATAGTCACCGGGGCAGGAAAACAAGTAATAGGAGGAAACCAAGAACTAGGAGAAATCAGTGAATCAGAGGAAGATGATTTTAAAAGGGGAAATTCAGATTCGAGAAAACGAACATGACGAGAAGTATAGATTTTATTGGTTTTAAGATCAAGGAAAAAATAAGCACTTTGATTAAGAGAATAACCAAGAAAGATATAAGGAGTGGTTTTGGGTTCAAATTTATTACGGTTTAAGCCAAGGGAAACATAAACAACCGAACACTTTGAGTTTGTTATAATTTGGTTTGTTGTGGAATAATTTTTCATAAGGAGAGGAAAAATCAAGAATTGGGGTGGGAAGACGATTAATCAAATAGACTGCAATTTGAAAGGCATATGACCAATATTTTAGAGGGACTTTAGATTGATGAAGAAGAGTTAAACCAGTTTCAACAATATGTCTGTGGCGTCTTTCGGCAGTACCATTATGTTGTGGAGTGTGAGGAGGTGTTTTGAGATGTTGAATACCCAATGTGCATAAGAAATTTTTTAAAGCGGTATATTCGCCACCACCATCTGACTAAACTGAAATAATGGGACGATTGAAAAATTTTTCGACGACTGTTTTATATTGACGAAAAATAGAGTAGACATCAGATTTCAAGCGTAAAGGATAGAGCCAAACATATTTTGTAAAATGATCAACAAAAATCACATAATAATGAAAACCATTAATGGATTGAACTGGGGCAGGGCCCCAAACATCAGTATAAACAAGATCAAGTGGTCCACGACTCTCTAAACTGGATTCACCAAACGGAAGACGTTGGCTTTTATTACAGAAACAAGACTCACAAATGAAATCAAAGGGGATGGAGGGTGAACATGAAACTAGACCAGAACTAATGAGAGATTTGAAGATTTTGAAAGATGGATGACCCAGGCGCCCATGCCAAACAGTGGTAGAAAGGGCCACGGCAGAGGTGGAGGTTGTAGGAGTAGCATTTGGCCATTCATAGAGATCATGCCTGTTCCTTCTGTGGAGTAGAGGCTTCCCGGTGCATAAATCCTTGACAACAAAATGAGAGGGAAAGAATTCAATAGAAGTTTTATTAGAGCGACAAAATTTAGAAACAGAAATCAGATTTTGATGTATGGAGGGAACACATAAAACGTTTGATAAAGTAAAAGGAGAAAAAGACACAGAACTGGTATGTGTGATTTGCAAACCTGAACCATCACCAATAATTATATCATCAGGACCCTCATAAGATTGAGTAAGGGACAAATTTGATAGCTGCGAGGTAACATGATGAGAGGCACCTGAGTCTACAATCCAAGGATTTTGAGTAGGGGGAGGTGGTGACATGATTGGCAGAAGGTCGTTGAGGACAAAGGTGAGGAAATAACTTGAAGCATTTCTTAGCATCATGACTGCGTTTGTCACAGAATTGACAAGTAGGAACCGGGAGTAGAGAACTATCTGGTTTTGGCTGTTTAGTGGCAGAGGCAGGAGTGGGAAGTAAACCAGGAGTAGGAAAGGAAAAATTTTGTTTAGGTGGGGGAAAAGATGAACGAGTATTTTTGGCGAGATTGGCAGTGGGCGGAGTGGAATCAGAATTTTATTTTTCACTGTGAAGGAGAAAGGTTTCATACAATTCTTCAAAAGGTACCACAGAGTCTCTAGTTCGTAGAGCAGCAATGAGTTCCTTATAAGCAAGACCAAGACCGCGAGTGCTGTATAGAAGCAAATCTGCATCACTTGGAGGCGCACCAAGGACAGTCAGTTCATCAGCGATGCGTTTGATGGACACTAGAAAATCTGTAACAGAGGATGTGCCACGAGTGAGCATTGAAAGTTTGTCCTTCAGATGGATTATATGTTGATTGGATCGCTTGGCATAAAGGCGAGACAGACGATCCCAAGCTTCTCGGCTGGAAGTTATCGACGAAATCAGAGGAATCACACCATCACTTACGGAGGCTAGGATGGCATAAAGAATGAGTTGATCTTGACGACGCCAGAATATATATGCAGGATTCGAGACAGATTGATCGTCCTGAGTTATTGTTTGAGAAGGAGGCGGAGTAGTACCATCAAGGAAACCAAATATTATATGAAAGGAAAGACCTAGATATGTAGTTTAATTTGCAATTGGTCACAGATTGTTTCCTTGAGTTTTCAATTTTATATGAATTTTCTAATAAACATCGACGAAGCTACTCTATATGATGTTCATGATTAATAGGCGTTATGTTATGTTAAGAATATAATATGCTTCCAGCAATTATAGTTGTGATGTTGGGAAATATATGATATGAGTAAGCATGTTTCTAGTATTGGGTTATGATTTTGTACGATGATCATAAATTTACAATATAATTATGTGTTGGATACAATTATGTGTTTTTGTGTTTTTATTTAAATAATACAAATTATATTAATCAAAGAGTATTAATCAAAAATGAGGTAAAAATCCAGCCCATACACTCTTAAAGTTAAGTTCAGTAATTTTCTTAAATTTTTTTCAATAATTGTAGCTTTTTTTTTAAACCCCTTAAATAGTATTAGGATGTGAATTAGGTTAAATAAATATGTTTTCTTACTGTTTTCTATTTATTTTTATTAAGCTATGTTAAGTTGTCTCTGTTTCTTTTTATTTTTTATTTTTCTTAATTTCTATTTGCATAGATTTCTTTTTAAATAATAAAAAGGCTATAGTGGTAACTGACCCTTTTTAAATTAAAAAAAAAAAAAAAAAAAAATAAAAAAAAAAAAAAAAAAAAATAAAAAAAAAAAAAAAAAAAAATAAAAAAAAAAAAAAAAAAAAATAAAAAAAAAAAAAAAAAAAAATAAAAAAAAAAAAAAAAAAAAATAAAAAAAAAAAAAAAAAAAGAAATCAAAGTTTTGTAAAATTAGCAAAACGGTCGTTTCTTTTATTAACAAAGTAGTCAATCACTAATTGATTTGCGGTCGATCACTGATTGATTTGCGGTTAATCACTAATTTACTAAGTTTGATGATTTTTCATTATTAATCAATATTAGTTACTAATTAGTCGAAATCAATTAGTAATTAATCAATTATAATTAACAAATATGTTTATTAATCATAAATCATTGTAAATTATAATAACGAATAGATCAATCACTGATCATTGATTGACTATTGAGAAAAGAACGTCATTTTACTAAAATTAAAAAAGTTCGGCCATGTGTTCAAAAAATAAAAATTTGAGAGTTTCTCTATTATTCTCTAAAAAAATGAACTACCAGTAGTCCCTTATTTTTTAACCGTCAAATCTGAATCAAAATTTATATATTTTACATATTTTTTCAACTTGAAGTGATTTTGACCGGATCTATAGAAAAAATCCTTAAAAATTTTAATAAAAAGTAGTGAAAAATGGTCATTTACCTGATTTTTTTCAAATTAAAAAAAATAGAGAGACACTAGAGGCTAAAAGAAGTGTAATTTTGACAAATACTCTTTAAAAATATTTATGTTAAAATTTTTACTATTTATTCTTGAGTAATAACTTTTTTTAATTAAATAATTACACAAATAAAAAACTATTAAGTAAGAATAATAATAAAATTTAAATTATGTAATTTTATCCTTAAAAAGAAAAAAAAATAAACTTTACTGTTGAGAGAGAGATATTGATTATTGATATCGACATCTGTGTCCAAAACGACATCATATCATATCAAATTATCAATAACAGGTTTCGATCTCACCTAAATAAAACTTAGAGGAAAGAAGAAAGAACGGAATCTGAAATCGATCAGGGCAGAAGAGAAAGAGAAGGGAAGAGTAATGGCGTGGAGAACAAAGAGGAATTTGGTTTGTTTGGCTTTAATCGCAGCCGCAGCAGCAGTATCATCGCTTTCTGTATGTGCGGCGGCTGAATCAAAGTCGGCGGCTTTCGTCAAGAAAACCATTTCTTCCCACAACATCGTCATCTTCTCCAAGTCCTATTGCCCGTAAGTGTTTTTTTTTTTCTGAATTCAAAATGATCTGATCTGTGTTTGTTAAAAAAAAAAAAAAGACAATAAATAAATAGATAAAGATCATTTCTTTTTCTTTTATTACCTACTACTACTGTACAGGTATTGTGGAAGGGCAAAAGCAGTATTCAAAGAGCTGAAGCAAACACCTCATGTTGTTGAGCTCGATCACAGAGGTTGTTTACTTTGACTAAACTTTTTTTTTTTTTTTGTGGTGAATACGTATTTATACATATTCTTGAATTTGTCTATAATTTGTGTATTATATATATATATATATATAGATGATGGCAGTGACATTCAAGATGGTCTGAGTGAGATTGTCGGGAGGCGTACTGTACCGCAAGTATTCATAAACGGCAACCATATCGGCGGTTCCGATGGTAAAGTATCTCAAACCACCTCTCTCTGTTTCTACATTGTTTCCACTGACATTTAACGTAAGGACTTTTATTAGATATGCTTTGATAATTGACTCGTGACTCTTTTTCATTATTGTTATTGGCATTGCAGATACTGTGGAAGCATATGAAAGCGGAGAACTCGCTAAACTTCTTGGCATTGCAGCAGCAGCAGCACGTGATGCTAAAGATGATCTCTAATTCGGGATCTCGGAGGCGGAGGCCGACAAGCTAGCTCGCAGTTGCATGGAATGTTAAGAGAATTTTTTAATTTTATGGAAATTCTTACCCCGGCAATTGTAGAGGGTGAAATCCACAATTAAATTTGTTAGAAGGTGAATGATTGAATTCGAAGGATTGTGTGAGCAATGAAATAAATCAGCAGG